AAATATTAAATATAAATCTTTATTTTAAATATTTTACATACAGGCACTTCAAACTTTGTACTTTGAGTTAACATTAATAGGAACTGAAAAACATTCAGGTAAGAAAATCAGGTACTGAAAATTGTAATTAAAAATAGGAAAATTTGCGCTGTGTACTATATAGCCATGGTTAGTTTTCTAGGGTTAAGCAATGTAGAGGCTGGTCAGTATCTAAATGACAGACCGCTTGAGAATACCAGGTGCTGTAAGCTTGGATGTGCGCGGGATATAATGAATAATGGTTCGGAATAGTTGAGCAGAGTTGCAATTTACATTTGAGTTATATTCATTTATGGGCAAATACCCTTGAGAAATATGAACTCATTTCTTCTCTTCCCCAGCTATGGGTTAATTAATAAGACATGTATCACTAAATCAATATTAAATAGAAAAAAATTCTTGCAATCTAGAATATATATCCTGGCTTTAAATAACTTGTAAAATGTTGATAAGCCGTAGAAAACGAATCAATCACATCGAACAATGCATCTGTGAGTGTAGGTGTGCCTCAGATATGGCACAGAACTTATTGTACCCGCAGGTGAAAATAACGTTTGCTATAGCGAAACCGATATTAAAAGATTAGCCCTTATCCAAACTGAAACTAGTTATCTCAAGTCTCAATGCCTGGACTTAAGAGAGAAGGCGTCTTTGCTTAAAAAGAGCCGCCAAATTAACTGCATTAAGAGGAAACTTATTTATTCAGCATTAATTCTAGCCATTAAAGCAATTTTTTATAGTCTAATTCATAAAACACTAACTTAAAAGACGCCTCATCGGGCAACATTTAAGCTGGCTCCTGTTAAGGGCCGCTGATCGGGTTTTCATCACAAAAGGTAGGGGGAGTTGATGCGATAGGCAACAATAAACTACAGAAGAACTCAAAACTGATCACTGCATTTAAGATTTACAGTAATATTTAAGATTACCTTTTAAAAGTTCAACGCTAATTCTTCTGTCGCCACTTAATTTAAAGACAATTTGATGCACGTAGGTCTTTACTTTCCGTGCAAACAATTACTTTTATTTCGTGGGTGACTTTCACTGGATTTCACAATTAATTTCGATTCCCAAATTTATTTCCAAGTTATAAAATTGTTATCGCACAAAAAATAGTTGAAAAAAAAAAAAAAAAGTCACGTAACCCCCCCCTAAAAAAAAACAAAATAAAAATAAATAAAATCGCCGAAAACAATCTCAATTTCAGGACTACGGGAATATTTTTAATTTGTTTACGGAGACGGCCTGATTCCAAAATGGTATATGTTGGGCTTCGGCCTCTAGGAATAAAGTTAAAAGAAATGGACAATTTTATTTTGAAACACTAAATTGAGAACGGTAATTTTTTCATCTGAACATGAGCTATTGAAAGTTACAGAGTTGTGTCCCTTTAATTTTTTTCATCATTAGAAGCTAAGATGGTGGAATCCGAACAAAGTTGCAGGAATGAAATCTTGGGAATCGCAAATTTTAGGATTGTGGGTCCGGATTTTTTTTTTTTTTAATTTGCTCACGTGGTCAGCCTGATTCCAATATGTTGGGCTATGGCCTCTAGGAGTAAAGTTGAAAAAGTATGACGCAGCGACATGCTGACATTCGCAATTATTATATAGATTAGATACTTAATATACTCTTGTAGAACTACTACTTTGAACCGTGTCCCTTTCTATTTTTTGTAGCTCTTAGTAATATTTTTATTTAGTTCCAATATTTACAAACACCAGCTCGTAGCTTGCTGCCACCTCTCGTCAGTTGTCTTTGATATGCTCTGTGAATGTCAAATTTTCCAAATGCTCCTTCCTCATTATGTGTTCAAGAAATTTTGACTAATTCAGACTATAACGTTATTATGAGTGGCCAGGCAGAAGATTTCTCGCAGCAGACTGGTTACCAATCAAAGCTATAGGGCCCGGTCTGTATTCCTATTGAACCCACAGCTGGGGGAGAAGAGATAGATTCATTACTTGCGCGTAAAGGAATATAACCGACCCAAGTGAAATTCGAACTCGGCTCTCCAATTTCTCATTCCGAGCCGTTATCCATTACACCACTATATTAAATTTACTAATGTTCAACTAATACCAGGTAAAAAGAGTCACTCAAGGTAGAGGGCTACTGTGGGGTGTTGTATTAGAGTAAGAAAGTGTGAAAAGTGATGTCCTTGGTGCTATGCAGGTAAAATAACTGCTAACTCGAAAAGCTCAAGATGCAATTTTAAGCCGTCAGTCGGAGACTTTAGAAGTATAGTGTGGAACTAGACTTTAGAAGGAACAGGAAACTCAATCTTAAACAGCGAATAAGGGATAAACATCTAATATTGTTCAAAAGACCAGGGAAAAGTGTAGACCGGATGACGGGTAAACCTATGTGCTCCTATTGGGAGAGAAGACAAAAGTTTTACTTATACGGGTTCAATATGCCTTCCTCAGCACTTACGCACTCCGTCCATGGAATTTTCAGCAGCCGCCATATAACCCCATTTCAGTTTCCAGTTTTTTTTTTTTTTTTTTACTTCATCTGCTAAGAAATTGCCAAACATTCACTATCACATAGATTGATATTACTTGGCATCTTGGCACTTATTTCTTCTTACGAGTGCTTAGGTTATGAAATGCTTCTCTTGCTTTTCAATGTGCGTTTGGATTTCGGTGACCTATTTTCTATCGTCTGTTAAAACATTTCACAAAGTCATGCAATAAATGTCTATTTGCAGATGAAAGGACTGAATTAATGTGCACGACAGTGAATGTTTGTTGAAGTTAGATCCTTTTCTAATAAGTGACATTTGAAAATTATACATCATTCCGTCAGATACAGTTTTTCACCACCTTTTCTATAATTCTATGCATTTTATTGCAAATGTAATTTCATTTGCTTAAGCTGAATCAATATTTTATGCATAAAGCACCTTGCAGTTTTAATTCCATGGAAAAAATATTCTAAAGTCACAGGCTTGGCATTTCCTTTCCTTCTATTTTCAAAATAAATGAAGTAAAACAACCTCCGTATTTTAAATCCATAATAATCACTTTCAACATTGTTATGTTTTAAGTATATTTTATAACATTTATTCTAATTTAAAAGGTTTATTGAATAAGTGTTCATAGTTGTGTATTGAATAAATTACTTTTGTGTTTGTGCATGTAGATCAACAGAATTTAACATACTTTTGTGCATAAAACATTTGCATACTGTTTTTTGTATGTCTTCATATGAAGTAGGTTTTCTGATGAGGCTTTTTTTATTTTTAAGTCCATGTTCCTTTAGAACTTCCACAGACTTGATTTTTAAAGTCAGTGCACTGACATGTTTCTGAAGATAATGCAATAGTTTTCCAATACCCTTTCCAATGTTTTACATTCCGAGTAAAAGTCATCGTCCACCAAGACTGTTTGTTACTCAAGGCTAGAAAGAGTTTAACGTACTATTTAAGTGACGGTTGATACACCTTAAGGCGAATATATATATATATATATATATATATATATATATATGAAGAAATGTAGTGTTAAGGTGTGCTATATTTATGGGATAAAGTGCTCAAAATCAAAGATAGAGCGTGTGTAAATATAAAAGTGAACATTGAAGTCAACACTTAGAGGCGACAGGCTGTTTCATGCTAGACGCAATCGTCAGGCCTGAGGATTGCGTCTAGTATGAAAACAGCCTGTCGCCTTTAAGTGTTGACTTCAATGTTCACTTATATATATATATATATATATTTTTACAAACATTCACCCAGACAGAAGATTGTCTCTTAAGTAATTGTGTCGGCTCCACAACTTCAGAGGCACGTGTTGCTAGTATGTGAATAGAAATTGCAATTTTTGTTGCCTTGTTACTGATAGCAGTTTGAAAAAAAATGGCGTCTGCTATGAAAGTATACACGAAGCAGAGAATTCGTCAACGCTGAAAATATTGCACCTATTGACACGCATCAACGTTTGCTGAAGGTCTACGGTGATGGCGGAAGGTAATGCCTTTCAGCATTGCTAACAGCGAGGCGTGTGACACGCCACCTTTCGGGCTCCTCTGCTTAACTGTCAACACACAAAATGAACAACACCTATTAAATACATAGCTAATGGTAGAAATAAAAAAAAAAATAGAGTTTTTCAGCCGAAAATTTTCTGTCCAGAGGAGAAATTGTGATCCATGTTCTTCCTGTGGAAATATATAGGAGACGTTATTTTCCTGCATGTAACAATTTATCGTGCACACAGATATACACTAATACTTTTATTCTAAAGTGCCGATGCGCGCATAAATAAACGTTTTTTAACGCTTGTTTGTTAAATTTCCCCAAGATAATAAGAATATGGAGTTAAGATGTTTATATAACTTCATACCTGTGTGCATTCTTAGTAAAATACAAAAAAAAAAAGAAGGTAAATGAGAGATCGCAGAAGGTTTATGTAAGAACGTGGGCGGTAGAGAACTTTTAAAAATCAGAAAAAAGTAAAAAAATACACGCAGATACGTAAACAGAGAGGAACAAGGAGAGGAATTTCGTCTGACAATGACAGCAATGTCTTTCAACATATAAAAGTGCATGCGACGAGAAGTTATTTCTGGACAGGATTTTTAGTATATTTGGTTCGAAATATTTCTATATCGAAATTCCTTTTGTCTAATTAAAAAACAAATATTGAAATCGTATTTGCTTCACGTTTTATCTGCTAGAGGAAGATAGCAAAATATAAGTTTCATGAATTAGTTAAAATTATTCAAAAATCAAAATTACGTTTTTGACACTTATTTTATATATATATATATATATATATGCGCAAATAAGTAACGGTAATTTTGCAAAAAGCAAAGTCACCATTCTTCATTTAGGTGGGGGAAAAGCCAAGTCTACCTTGAATAGAGAGAAAAATATGAGCAAAACGCTGATCGTTTGAAACAAAATTGAAAATTTATATTGTACAACGAAGGAAAAGAGACGGAGAAAAAGGATCTCAGAGAGAGAGTGAGAGAGTGGGAGAACAAAAGCTCTGACAGAGAGAGAGAGAGTGGGAGAACAAAAGATCTGACAGAGAGAGAGAGAAAGAGTGGGAGAACAAAAGATCTGAGAGAGAGAGAGAGAAAGAGTGGGAGAACAAAAGATCTGAGAGAGAGAGAGAGAAAGAGTGGGAGAACAAAAGATCTGAGAGAGAGAGAGAGAGAGAGAAAGAGTGGGAGAACAAAAGATCTGAGAGAGAGAGAAAGAGTGGGAGAACAAAAGATCTGAGAGAGAGAGAAAGAGTGGGAGAACAAAAGATCTGAGAGAGAGAGAGTGGGAGAACAAAAGATCTGAGAGAGAGAGAGAGTGGGAGAACAAAGATCTGAGAGAGAGAGAGAGAGAGGGGAGAACAAATGATCTGAGAGAGAGAGAGAGTGGGAGAACAAAATGATCTGAGAGAGAGAGAGAAATGATCTGAGAGAGAGAGGGGAGAACAAATGATCTGAGAGAGAGAGAGAACAAAGAGATCTGAGAGAGAGGGAGAACAAATGATCTGAGAGAGAGAGAGTGGGAGAACAAATGATCTGAGAGAGAGAGTGGGAGAACAAATGATCTGAGAGAGAGAGGGAGGAACAAATGATCTGAGAGAGAGAGTGGGAGAACAAATGATCTGAGAGAGAGAGAGTGGGAGAACAAATGATCTGAGAGAGAGAGAGTGGGAGAACAAATGATCTGAGAGAGAGAGAGAGAGTGGGAGAACAAATGATCTGAGAGAGAGAGAGAGTGGGAGAACAAATGATCTGAGAGAGAGAGAGAGTGGGAGAACAAATGATCTGAGAGAGAGAGAGTGGGGAGAACAAATGATCTGAGAGAGAGAGAGTGGGAGAACAAAAATGATCTGAGAGAGAGAGAGAGATCTGGGAGAACAAATGATCAAATGATCTGAGAGAGAGAGAGAGTGGGAGAACAAATGATCTGAGAGAGAGAGAGAGAGTGGGAGAACAAATGATCTGAGAGAGAGAGAGAGAGTGGGAGAACAAAAGATCTGTGAGAGAGAGAGAGAAAGTGGGAGAACAAAAGATCTCACATGAGAGATAAAGAGAGTGGAGGAGAAAATATCTGTGCTTGAACGAGACATTGACAAAAACTCGGAGAGAAAAGCTGACAAAGGCATTGAATGCCTAGAGAGCCATTGCAAATTACATGTAAGAAACCGTAAGACAAAAATCAAAGCATCGAAATGAAGCAAAGAACAAAGGAAATACAGGTACATAGAACATAAACAAATTACATTAAAAAAAAAAAAAAAAGTATCAAGAAAACCGCCGGCGAAGAAAAAAAAAAAAACAACAACAAAAAAAACAAAAACAAAACACGGACAGATATATTCTTTATCTATTTGAGGATTTTAAATGAAATATTTTTTTCATTTTAACTTTTGAAACGTCTGTTGCATTGTACCTTTGAAGACATCCTTACAAAATATTCCATCTTGGTCATTTGTCGAAAAACATGTCCCTCAAATATCAGTCAGTTATGTGCCATGGGTGATACACGCTTAGACGATCATGTATCTTTCGATACATGATTGACGATTTTTTCCCGCAGTAGTTTGTCATTTCTTTCTGCAGTAGACCAGTTGCCATCCAAGTCTATAGAACCCGGTCTGTCCTGCTATTTACCCATAGCTAGGGGGAGAAGAAGGACACATACCTTTCCCAAGGGTATTAGCACGTAAGTGAATGTAATGGATTCGACTGGAATTCGAACTCGTCTCTCCGATTCCTCAATCCGAGCCGCTATCCATTACTCCACCGTGCCTCCCCCTTGAAAATGCTAACATTAAAGAAGACGGATTTGTGTTTTTGTGCCCACCGAATTTCGTTCTCTACTCTGTACATGTGGTCTTGGGTATTCTTGTGTGTTCTTACTGACAAATGATTGGCCACCCTTATCTTTGTACGGGTAGCGATAAGAGTCAGGTGTGTAAGCTATACCCCTCTTACGATAACACACTTTGATAAGTTTGTGCGCCACTACCTTAAAAACAGTTGCGGTTATCCGTGCGAAGAAAGAAAATGAGTGGGGAATATGGTTTGTGTGTGGCCATCAGCACCTGGTGATGGTCGTCTAACAGGGTAAATCTTACAAAGTAACTTGTATTGTACATTTTGTTGCCAATAGGAAGGTTCGCTTTGCTAGTTGTCTTCATCAAGGGGTGAAGAAGTTCTGGCAAGAAACAATCAAGATTATTTGAGGCAAATGTCTTGCATAATAACATTTAACGGATTTAAATATATCAGAAGAGATTTCTAAAAGGAAAAATAAAAATGAGGGAGTAAATCCTGTTTGAACGTGATTCACGAATTCGCTTTATCTTGAAGCAAAGAAGATCTAACTTTACCAACATTTTAAAACTCAATATATATATATATATATATATATATATATATATATATATATATATATATATATATATATAAACAATATAATAAAATACGTTCTGAAAGTAATTTAAACAGTTATCCGATTCTGTATATCGGAGTTTTTAAATGAAGCAATGTTTGAAAAAAAAAAAAAAAAAAAAAAAAAAAAAATTAAAATAGTTTTTTTTTTTTTTTTTTTTAAATCTCTTAAGCCCAAGCAAGTCCGTAATACCGCTAGGACGCAGGGGTTATATGGAGTGAAAGAGAAGAAGGAATGACAAAAATGGAACATGGTTCAAGAAGACTGCAATTGAAGTTGCATTCTAATTTTTGAAAATTGTAATTGTCAGAGAAGCAAGAAAACAGAAGGGTGTTCCGCAGGTGTGAAGTGCGAGAAAAAAAACTGTTGGGGTAGAAGTGGCGGTTGCATTTAGCAATTTAAACAGTAAAACGGTGGTACCTAGTTGCCAATATGGTGGGATGCTTAAATTCATGTAGTCGGGACACCAGGGGAAAAAAGATTTTCAGAGCAGTTGCCATGAAAATATTCGTAGAAAAGACAGGGGGAAGCCACGTCACGTCGGTGAGAAAGTTACTGAAGTCTAGATGTCATGATTACATTGCAGACCATTTAAATTTTGTCAAAAATCTTGAGATGTACACTAGGAACACCAGACCAGATATGACAACAGTATTCAATGCATAGCTGAATAGTTGATTGTGCGTAAGATGAATTCTAACGAGAAAAAATTCTAGCACGATACAGTTAAGCAACATCCCTTGAATTGGGGGGAAACAAATGATATCATCCGATAACATCTTGTTTAATTAATTCAAAAATAGCTTTGTGGACAGACTAAAGTAATGAAGGGACAGTGTTTGCAATTATCATCGCGATTTTCATGTGCGCTAAATAAAATTGAAACACGTTAATAGATTTTCCACGGTGACAAAAAAAAAAAAAAATGCAAACATTATTCTGATTTGATAAACTGATCGGCTACTTAACGTTAACACATTTAAAACTAAGTTTAAAATTAGAATTGAAATTAAGTTTCTGTCTATATTTCTGAGATTAATTATGTACACTATTTACATTATTAGGACTATTGTCGCCATATTTATTACGACTTTTAGGCCGTTGTACACTCTGGCCTTCTTCAGGTGGTTGGAATGTCGAACTGAACCCTTTATTTCGCTCACTGGGGTAGACTGTTCTAGTTCCACGTGCCATGTTTAATGAATGTCGGTTATCTCCTGTCAATTCCCTTCTCCAAATTCTCCACTACCTTAACCGGGTATTGAACTCACACTCTTTGGGTCCTGTCACTGAATCTAACTAACGCCTTTATCCACTGTGCCATGTGTCCTTGAAATTAAGTTATTAAGCCTTCCTTCATTTCCACAGGTGAAGTCTGAATAGAAATTACCTAATCTGTGCATCAAATTTAACTTTTTATGTAATTGTTTTCCGAGATATATTCAGTACATAAGCACAGATAAAAATTTATAAAATTTACGCAACGATGTTAATAATTGTTTATAAGAATTTTTAAAAATAGTTTATAAGCTATGTTAATCTGTTGGTTTCCATATTCTGTTGAATAATGAGAAAGTATTCGTCTCATTTCAGATCTTAAATAAAACTCTTAACGATTCATTGTTCAAAATGCTGAAAAAATGACATGTACCTTGTACCGCTTCAAAAAGTAACAGACACCGCCTGACTTTTGGTTTGATCTGGCAATGAACTACTGATGCCATCTATACGGTGAGGGTTCCCAGTTATCACTTGATTGGTAACTAAATCGTATACGTGGCCCTGTGAAATAATTTCCAAACTACCACCCCTTTCCCCACAGACGAACCTTTTCTCGCCTCTCCGTTTTCCTGGCAAATATTCTGCCGAGCTAAATTTTTTTTAGTTCTACCAAACAGATCTCCAGTTTTGAACCATCCTGCCATATATACAGTCGACTGATCATAATTCCTTCTGTATTCCATTAATAAAAAGAAGTTACATTCAGACAGCTTCTTTGCCAGAACTTAATTTCTTGACTCCCTAGAAGATGCTTCCCTCATTCAAGCCCATTTACCTAGCGTACTTATCCGCATAATATGAACTTCATATACCCTGATAATAACCTCATTCAGTAACTATCTACTTCGAATGACACGTAGGCTTATATTGGGTGTTAAATAAAAAATAAATCAAATCTAAGGTTTGATCATTTGGTTAGCTTTGAGGTAAGTGGGTCAGACTTGATCTTTCATCACACCATCCTAAATATGCAAAACTGTAGGTATTATAACTTTTTCTCCAGTTAGTATTTTTTTGCAAAGCGGCAAATAAAATTCGAGCCGAGCTGTTTCAGCTAACAATAGCCATGTTACTTCTACGGAGCTGAATCCCCATTTTCTTCGGTATTGTTCTACTCAACTTTTTTTTCCAAAGAGCTGCAATCTTTGTGAAATAGACACCTGCATGAATGATTCCCCGAAACACTACAATCTTAACCTCATCAAGTCAAAGGTCAAGCGAAATCTATTCTCCTCATCCTCAATATCCCCTTACTACAACATCCGCTACCCCCGACAGCAAGGCCTTTAATCAGAAGGAACCGCTTCTTAATTGCTAATGTTCCCAAGTCCACGTCATGTTTCCAGCTATGGGCAAATAGTTAACCCTCCAAAAGGGGTCAAAACACTATGGAAGTATAAAAATAACTTTTAATACCAGCAATATTATTTTGGAAAATTTTTTTTACCAGCAATGTATTTTGAAAAAAATTAATACCAGCAATAAAAATCTTATCGGCATTAAATAACCGATTGAGGTTGATAAGCTATAAAATAAACCAACCCAAAATATCACCTCCCTGTATTTATCATCAACATATTTACAGTAACCATCTAACTTTAGTGTTTCTCTAAATTTCTAGTTGGTGAATTGTAGTATTAAAAAGCCATCTTAATAAAAATCTCTAAAGTCATCAGTCTATCTTTAACTTTTACATGAATTTTTGTTTAGCGGTAATGAAGGGGATTAACAAAATAAAAAAAATTATGAAATTATAATAATTTTTCTATGGATTAATTAAAATGCATACAATTTGGGTTATATGTAGCTAATTTAATAAAATATTTTGCGTCATATGATCAATGCTGGATTTACCTATAGTCTTATCAGGCTGAAGGCTAGGGCCTCAAAATCTACGGTGCCTCCAGGCAAGGTGTGTAATATTTTTGACGCTTACATAGGCTTTTCTTACACATGCTGTCATAATGCATTATAGACTAAATAAACCTTCAGTATTTTTAAACATTCGTCTTCATCCATAGTTTTACTTGAACTGTTTAAGACTATTCCATTTTCCCCTACACGTGAGAATAGCGGGAGGTTTTGGATCTACCTCATAAGTGGAATAGCCTAGGGCCTGTCTTCACATAAATCCGGTCACTTGACATGTGATGAATGACATATTGACGGATTCCGTGAGGCTAATTTGTTTTTTGGAGAAAAGTGAAATAATTTACATTTACGTGAACAAATTATTTACCCCGTTATTTTTAACGAAAACTTTCAGCGGTCTAATTTTTTTTTTTTTTTTGTACTTAGCTTTCACCTTTACGTTTATGATGCTTTATGGGAAATATATTATAAAGAAATTAAAATAAAACTGTTAAGAGTGACATTAAATTTCATATTTCTTAAGAAAGGTATCTAATTAATTTATAGGTACTTCTT